AAGCAATGCAAATATGAAGCGTTCAAGGTTATCGTGCATGTAATAACCATATATAGTAATAAAACATGTAGTAATTCTTCATTGACGTCAAAATGCAAAACATCTCAATTAGTAACTTCTAGACACTCAGTAATGTCAATCAATCAACTTGAAAAGTCAAGGTTATATTCTAAATTTAAGCAAAACATGGTATCAGATTGTACCAAGTACAATCAAGGGTGTATAGCAAGTTCACTCAAGGGTAATAATACCATAAATAGATTAAATGAAAGGAAATACAATTTTATATATCAAATTCGGATAGTATATAAGAACTTGTTCGTTAAAAATTTCTTTATTATAAAGAAAAAATGGACTCAGACGTGTCATATGAACATTTTTTACTTTATTTGAAAGATAAAAGAAACAAAAGTCGCTTCGATATATTTATAAAAAAAAATAAAGAAAAAAAATTAAAAGCAAAAAAAAATCAAGAAGAAAATCAATTTCAAGAAGAAAATCAATTTCAAGAGAATAATAAATATGCTTCTCTACAAACACCCATACCGAATTGGATAAATACTGAGACAAATAACGAGACAAATTCTGAGACAAGCTGTAGATTCTCCACAACCTATGGATGAAGATACAGCAGAAAAGAGTGATGGTAAAAGTCCTTTGAATACTTATCATGATAATATTCAAAAATCATCTCCTTTACCCATAATTAATAATGTATATTCAACAAAAGATTCTCCTACTGAAAAAAATACAACTCTTATGAATATCATGTCTCCAATCACAACTACAAGTATGATGTCACCAAACACGATGTCTTTCTTAAATTACAATGTCCCCACACCGCGCACTTTTTTAAGAGAACTTGGAGACATTGAATTTAATCAAGATCAAGGATTTACAACTCCTCCCAATAATAATAATACTATGAATCAAAATCAAGGAAATACATCTCCTCCTCCTGAACAAATGAATCAAGATCAAGTATTTGCTCATCCCGATCTAGTATTTACAAGTCCTCCTCATAATCTTAATGAATGGGTAGGGAAAAAAAGACAATTAATGGATGCTACTGAAAGTATAAAAAAAAAGAGAGGTCGTCCGACCAAAAAAAAACTTGAAGAATACAACAACGAAATTGGTAAAAATCCTGAATACTCTTGTAATATTTTATCTTTTAACAATGGACAAAATTGTGTTAACAGACAATTTTATTCACTTATAAAAGGAAATATCATATGTAAAAATGAGGAAGAAGCAAATTTTTTAATTGATCTATTTGAAAGAAAAAAATTACTTGATAAATTAAAAGAACTCAACCAAGAAATTAATTTAAACAACACAATGGAGTATTTTTTTAGAAAAATGTCTTAAAATTCGTTTATATACATCAATTTGTAAATACTTCATATAATACTTCATATAATATTTCATATAATAAAAAAATTCTTGTTTTTGTATTTTATTGAGGGTTGTATCAGGTTGTACCAGACACGGTTCTTAAAGATGCTCGCTTAATTGATGGGATGGTTGTTGGTGTTAATAAATCAGTTCTACATATCGGGCAGTTAGAAAATCCTTGTAATAATAATTGTGCCAAACAATCAAAATGTATTTTGTATTTTAACTCTACAAACACCACATTTTACACAATGATAAGGATCTTTCGAATAATCATCGTAAAACTTACATTTGACACAAAAATAGTCAGCCAACTTTTTCTTACACTTGATACAATATTGTTGAATTCCTTGCTCAAAACCGCAATAATTACACATTATCCAGGAAATATCTTTTGGATTGACTTTTTTATTGCAAAAATGATCTTTATTATGACAATGATGACATGGATAAAATCTTTCACAACATTTAAAATAAAAAGAACAATTTTTTTTAGAGTGTGTACAATTTGTAAACATACATTGATACTTCTGTATCCGAGACATTTTTCCATCAATCTGTTTTTACATGGAAGGGTAAGTTATATATATACACACATCTTCAGCTATTCAGCTATATAGGAAATTATTTTTTCAACATTACTATTCATAAGTACTTTCATTTGTTCAAAATGTTCATGATTATCATCATTTTCATCCAAATATTTTTTTAATACTTTAATAAATGCTTCAATAAATCATTTTTGTTCCAAGATATATTTCTTTTCAGTTGCATCAAAAACCATTCTTAAATTATCTTCTTGACATTCATCAATAACATCAAAAACCCTGCACTCCTTTTTCCAACTCAAAATAACATCTGAAGATAGAAACACTTTATTCGAAATATCAACATCAGCATCATCATCAGGAGTTAAGAAAAATACTATAGTTCTGCTTCGCCAATCCGCCATTATCAACTGCAAGAAATGATACTAAAACATCTAACACTCAAATGTCAATCAGACTTCATCTTCTTAAATATATCTTCTACGTTTATCTGGAAAACTGAAGCGATATGGTTGTCGCTTGATGACTACGACTATATATATAATACTTTATCCATATTAAATTTGCATTTGAAGGCCGCAACCATTTTTCCGAAATTTCAGCAATTAATACAATAATTCTGTAGAAAACACTCATATTACCAGTTAGAAATTATAATATGCAATATCCGGTACTTTTACCATCTTATATATATCATATAGTTACTATTACAATTTTTTCAATAATATTTTTATAAAATACTTTAATTAATTCCAATTGTGTAATGTGCTTATAAAATTCTTTTTCGTCATGATAATAAAAGTAGTCTTCCAATTTTTCTATAAATATGTCAATACTATCTTTTTCGCTGATTATCATCCCTTCATCGCATAATTTGAAATTAAATTTTCTTCCATCTTCAATTTCTTTGTTAAAAATAATCATTCCACCACCATCAATGAATTTAGATATACATTCTGATTTCATAATCATTTGACTTAAATCTTTTTCTTCATCAAATTCGTCATCGCGCTCAAATATAAAAGTAATACTTTGATTTGAAGATTTCACCATTATCAATTAGACAACAAAACATTCAAATGACAAATAAATCTTTTATTGAAGATTTTACATTAAAAGAGTGATAAAAAAGGTAAGAAATTCGAATTTTTTTAAAAAAGAAAAAAAGAAATATGATGAAAAATTTGAGAAATTCGAATTTTTTTATAAAAATAAGAAATATGTTTTTTACAATAAAAAATAAGAAAGGTTAATTTTTTTTTATTTATTTACTAAAAACGTGTAATATATAAATCCTTAATATCAATGTAGGGAAGATAACCACATTGGTATTGAATAAAGAAAGATGGAAAAAAATGATATGAATAACCCTTCCAAAAATAATGGTGGATTTGGAAATATTTCATATGGAAAGCCATCATTTCGTGAATTTAATAACTTTAATTCACATCATATTCCTTCTCTAAAAAGATGTAAGCAATCATGTACAAAATGCATCTATTGTGAAATTGAGTCTTCTGTCAATTCAAAAGTTTTTTCTGAATTTAACAAAATAATTCCAGCAATAAAATGTTGAGATAAAAAAAATTGAAGAAAAACTTACAGAGAAAATTGATGAATTTATAAATCTTGTAAGAATGGAATTTGAGTTTAATATAAAAGATATGTATGAAAAAGTAGAAAAAGATATAAAGTAAGAAAAATAATACAAAAAAAGATTTTTTATTAATTTAAAATAAATTTATTCGGATAAAAATGCTTGTACTTATAAAAAAAGAAAAAATAAAGAAAAAAACCATAAAAGGAAGCGTTACAATGATTGCTTACTAATAAATCATTGTGAGGTTTGCTTTCATGGTATTATTTACATGATGCCGAAGAAACTTATATATACATCAAGACGGGAAGATGAATATATTGCTATTTGCAATCGATTGAAGACGTATTTTGACTTTACGTCACTATATCCCTTTTTTCAAAGAAGCACGATGTCAAAGAAAGTGATAAATGCGTCAAGACAAAATACAAAAGAAAATACTAAACCACACAATGTGTAACATATCATCTTCTACAAATTCTTTTACATGCGTTTGTGTACAAATAGAAGATTGGATTAATTGGTTTTGGGACAAAGAAGTTGGTGAAAGGACTGAGTCATATTTGAGATTCTTTCTTGTGGATCATCTATTAAAGCGAGACAATTTATATCATCAGTAAATTCGACTTTGGTAAAATTTAGAATGTGTAACCAAATCAAGGATTTATCCATGTCTTTGTGTACAAATGAAAGTTTGGCTTAACTGGTTTTGGGATGATAAATATGGTGAAAAGTATGATTCCTTTTTACGATTCTTTATTGTAGATGAAGAATTGAAACGAGACAATTTGTATCATCAATAAATTGGACTTTGGACTTTCCATATTATCATTTTTAAAAAATTGGACTTTGGACTTTCATCAATGTAATTATTTTATATTGTATTTGAAATATATATCTTTTTTATGAAATCTACTTGTTTATATATTTTATATATTTTATATTACTCTTATCCAATATTCTAATATGTATATGTATATTATCACAGGCTCACCCTTCTCTATTTTTATGTTTACTACCGCTGACTGCTTAAAAAACGATCCCCCCGGTTTTTTTTATTATAAGATGTATTATGACTATTTTTAGACATAATACATTTTATAATAAAAAAACTTGAGCCTGCGATGATATATATATATATATATTAGTTAACTACTAAAATTGGGACTACATGCATCTACTTCTCCAATTTTGAATAATATATGCTCTCAAATGTCAGGTGTAGCTCAACCCATTGAAAATATCTTAGATACTAACATAAAACTTGAAATTGAGCAAAATAGGAAAATTCTTAAACAAATTGTTGATACAGTTCTTTTTTGTGGAAGGCTTGGCATTGGATTACGAGGTCATCGTGACGATGCTCAATTTCACCCAGAGGTCGGTTGCTATTCAGTCAATGGCAATGTTGGTAATTTTGTTGAATCTTTAAATTTTAGAGTTAGAGCTGGTGATCAAACTTTGGAAAATCATTTGCTCAAATGTGGCAAGAATAAAAGTTATATTTCCAAGACCAGCCAAAACAAAATCATCAACTGTATTGGTCAGGTAATATCAGAAGATATTATAAACGAGATAAAAAAAAATAGATATTATTCTATCATTGCAGATGAAGCTGCTGATTCTTCTCACAAAGAGCAATTGTCCCTTGTTCTACGGTTTGTTGACTCTTCAATGAATGTTAAAGAAGAGTTCATGTGCTTCCTGCATTGCAAATGGGGTTGAGTGGTCAACAACTTTCAAAGCTTATTTTAGAAACTCTAGAAATTTGCCTTACCAATTATGGATTGCAGGGGACAAGGTTATGATGGTGCAGGGGCTGTTTCTGGGCATATAAATGGTTTAGCAGCCCACATTTTAAGAACTAATCCTAAAGGTCTTTACACTCACTGTTACAGTCATCGACTAAATTTGTCTGTCTGTGACACTCTTTCTAACGTTGAAATTAATAACATGTTATCTGTTGTTTCTCAAGCTGCCAATTTTATCAACATATCACAGACACGCAACATACCCTTTGCTGAGCACGTTAAAAAGTCAGATGTTCAGACCAAGAAGGCAAAACTGGTAAGTCTTTGTAAAACCAGATGGGTTGAGCGAGTCGACAGTATTGACACGTTTCAACAGTTGTTTATCCCTTTAATCAACACTCTTCAGGAAATGATAAACAATGTAAGCGGCGAGGTGAAGCCTTCCCTTGCTGCTGATGCTTCCCAGTTACTTTCATTAGTTACTCAATTTCATTCTATTGTTGCGCTAGTTATTACAAGAAATATTCTTGATGCTACTCTTCCAGTCACGCAATTGTTGCAGGGAAAAACTATTGATGTTATGGATGGTTTTCATTTGATAACCACTTTGAAGAATGATGTAGCCAACATGAGGAAAAGCATTAATTTTATCATAACACTTGGTATGAAGAGGCTTTAAAACTTGCTGAAGAGGTCAACGTTCAAGAAACAAAAGCGAATTGCTGGAAGACAAACTATGCGATCTAATCCCCCAGTCAATCATTCAAAGAACATTATAAACTAACCATCACTATTCCTTTATTAGACCATCTTCAAACATCTTTGAGAACTAGGTTTAACTTGATAGTGTTAATGTGTACCGAGGATTATCTATCGTTCCCGTCAAAATGATGACTCTGTCGGACAAAGGAATTGATTGGAAAGAACAGTTTAAAAGTGTTGCAAAATTCTATCATGATGACTTGCCCAACCCCCTTGGTTTAGATGCTGAATTAAGGCAATGGCGTTTATACTGGGAAACGCACAATGGGCCTTTGCCAGAAAACATCGTCAAAACACTGAAGCATGTAACATTTCCAGGATTTGAAAATATTAAAGTTATTCTTCGCATTTTAGGTACACTACCAATCACCTCATGTGAATGTGAGAGATCAATTTCAGCACTGAGGAATCTAAAAACCTACCAAAGGAGCACTATGGTAGAGGAACGTTTAAATGGCCTGGCTTTAATGCGAATTCACCCAGAAATTATTCCTGACATAGAAAGAGTGATCAATAAGTTTGCTGAAGGTAATACACGTTTGAAATTTGCTTAATGTGTTATGGCTACGTTACTGTAGAAATATTACTGACTTTGCAACTGGCTGCTTAATGCGCCGTTGCTGCAGAAATGTTTTACAGCACAACTGGCTGCTTAATGCGCCGTTGCTGCAGAAATGTCTTACAGCACAACTGGCTGCTTAATGCGCCGTTGCTGCAGAAATGTCTTACAGCACAACTGGCTGCTTAATGCGCCGTTGCTGCAGAAATGTCTTACAGCACAACTGGCTGCTTAATGCACCTTACAGCACAACTGGCTGCTTAATGCGCCGTTGCTGCAGAAATGTCTTACAGCACAACTGGCTGCTTAATGCGCCGTTGCTGCAAAAATGTAAGACAGTGCAACTAGCTGCTTAATGCGCCGTTGCTGCAAAAATTTAAGACAGCACAACTGGCTGCTTAATGCGCCTTTGTTGCAAAAATGTAAGACAGTGCAACTGGCTGCTTAATGCGCCGTTGCTGCAAAAATGTAAGACAGTGCAACTGGCTGCTTAATGCGCCGTTGCTGCAAAAATGTAAGACAGTGCAACCGGCTGCTTAATGCGCCGTTGTTGCAAAAATGTAAGACAGTGCGACTGGCTGCTTAATGCGTCGTTGCTGCTAAATCAAAGACTGTCCATGTCCGGAATCACATTGTTGCTTTGCACTATGTGTTTCCTAGGCATGCTGAAGAGCCCTGACATTGGGCGAAACGGTCTTAGCGTGTTTGTCCTCAATATTTTGTAAGAAAAAAAATGAAAAACTGCGATTTCATTCACTTTGAAAATTTGTTCTAAAGCTATTCCAAAATGCTGGAAATCGCATTTCTGGGACCCTAGGCTTCAACATTTTCCAGGGCGGGGATGCCCTCGGACCCCTTACGGGCAAACGCCTCCGGCGTTCGCCGGTTTAGGACTGACGTTTGGAAAATCCTAGATCCGCCCCTGGCCACGGCCACATTCTTGATTTTTGGAGCAAACTTACCTACGCGAGATCCTAAAGCCTGTTTTCCACGAGCCACGTATCGTAACGTATCGTAGCAAAACGTAACGTATCGTAGCAAGTACAGATACGTTGAACGTTTTCCATTATTCGGCACAACGCATAGTACTATTTTCCCGCCAAAGTTCAAAAACAATACAAATATTATTGCTATGGGTACTCTCAGCAAAAAAACTCGCTTGCTTTTACTTTTAAGTAGACGAATGAAGAAAGATAAATATAAAAAATCATATTGGATTCGAAAGCTTTATCAAGAAAGAAAAACTAAAGGAGAATTTTATCTTTTGGTGATTTACGTTTGTTCGATGATGAATTATTTTTCAGGTATTTTCGAATGAACGCTTCCAAATTTGAGGAATTATTACTTATGGTCGCCCCAAAATAAAAAACTGCGTGTCTAGAGATTGCATTGGACCACCTGAGATGCTTTGCGTGACGATGAGATATTTAGCAACCGGAGACTGTCAAACAACCATAGCTATGAACTATCGAATGAGTCCAACAACAGTGGGAAGAATCATTTTTAAAACTTGCAGAGCACTGTGGATTGTTCTTGCAAAATTTATAAAGCCACCTACAACTGAGTCCGAATGGAATAAATTGGCTGAAGAATTTGAAATAAAATGGAACTGTACCCACTGCCTTGGAGCGTTGGACGGAAAGCATGTTGTCATACAGGCCCCTGCAAATTCCGGTTCAGTGTTTTTTAACTACAAAAAAATCATTCAATTGTGTTGATGGCCATTTGCAACGCCAACTACGAATTCACTCTGGTCGACATAGGTGGCGCTGGAAGAAATATCGATGGTGGTATATTTTCTTACAGCAAAATTGGATAAGCTGTGAAAAACAACAGTTCGAATTTTCCAAGTGAAAAATCATTGCCTGGTTTCCAGGAAGAATGCCCTTTTGTTATGGTAGCAGATGAGGCTTTTCAACTGCAACATCACATAATGAAACCCTACCCAAGAGAAGTTCTAGGTATTGCAGAAAGAGTGTTCAACTACAGGTTGTCACGAGCAAGACGGACAATAGAAAATGCCTTTGGCATCCTAGCTGCACGCTTCAGGATTTTTCGACGTGCAATACATGCTAGAGTTGAAATGGTTGTCAGGATAACCCAAGCTGCAGTGGTCCTTCATAATTATTTCATGAGGGAAGGTGCATGCTCTCATGGAGAGTTATTTTCGCATGGAACTAATTGACAAAATACAAAACATGGCACACAACCAGGGCGGTGGAGAGAAATAACGCAAGGCGACAAAGGCTTGCAATCAATTAATAGAGATGGATCAAACAACTACTCTCGTAATGCCAAAAAAGTTAGAGAAGCTTTCAAAAAGTATTTTATGTCAAACGAGGGGCAAGTTATATGGCAGTGGGAATCTGTTCATGCCACTGAAAATTGTTTTGACAAAAATAACTAATAAGACAGACTTATTATTAAACATGTTCGAACAAATCAATATATTATAAGACAGAAACAAAAACTTAAAATAACTTGTTACAACAAACTTTAAATAAAAAAGCAAATTGAATGTTCTGTAATACATTTGTCAGTGATGCTAATGAATTTCATTCATCTTCTTCTAACTCAAATAGAACCTGTAGCACCTTTATCTTAGCCATTTGTTTAGTTTTTCCCTTCATCCCTTTGAAACTAGACACTAAGCTTAAGAAAATAGTGTATCCTCATCTTGTTGATTGTTTGTCTCACTACTACCAGTTTTACTAACATTGGATAAATCATTAGCAAGACTGATGGCTAAGAGGTCATCAATTTGGTCTGATCTTCGCTTGCGTGCTTTCTGACTGGTTTTGGGTTCAAAAACCTGGTCACTTGATTGACTATCCAAAGACAAACTACTTGATTCAGAAACCTTCACAGGATCAATGATTTCATATTCAACATTGCTTTCAGTTTTCCACCCACTTATTACATCCCTTAAGAATGATAGCTCCACAAAATAATCACAGGTGGGCATTTTTTTTGTAGAGCCACTTCCAGAACGAGTTAATTGCTCTCTTTTGCGAATGCATCGATGATAGTTATGTTTCAGTCTGTCAAATTCTTTGTTCAATGCACTTTCTACATTGAAAGTAAAATATTCGTAAATAAACTGCTCACAAATTTTACTGTTTCAAATTTAATGTTATACTATAACCTATACACATGTAGATTGTAGAGTACCAATGTTTGTAAATTTTACAGCCAAATACAATTTTGAATACAATATTAACTAGTTAATTAACAAATATAATATCAATAGTTGTTGTAAACAATATGATTGCTGTTTAAAGTAGTAGCAAGAACATTAATGCACAGGCAGTCAAATAGAACTGCTCAATTTTTATCAAGGTTATGCAAAGCTGTATTTAAAACAAAAGGAGGATCCACTATTTATTAGATGTACGATTCTTTTTTATTGAGTGACTGATATGATTATATGTAATGTTTTGGCACTTCTTCCAAATGTTAACCTATTAATATATTACATGTAGGTGAGCAGTTATTTTAATTGCCAGTGTAGTTTATAATATTTACTTCAACAAAAGAACTACTGAATATAATAAGAACTGTTCGACAAGAAAAGTTCATTATCGGGTTTATTGCCTTATGGCATTATCATGTATAAGCTCGTTCGTGAATAACTTACCAGGTGCATTCAATGCTGTAGAAATCCTACGCCAGGCTTCAGTTTTTTTTGGTCTTTCTTTGTGACTTTTTGAAGAAACATTCCATATGCGAGGATATTTACGTATTTCCTCAATTAAATTTGACAGAAACGAAGCATCTTGCAAATTGATATCTGATTTATTTAATGAATCCTCTGTCCCTTCTTGAAAAAACTCGATTCACGGCTCCTCGAGCGTCGCCATTTTGAAAGCATGAATTTTGTTTTGTCGTGAAATGAACGACTATGATTGGTTGAATATATCCGTATTACAGATTCGTACGAAAAAAAATGACAATACGCGAACTTGTTTTTTAATACGCGTATTAAAATTGTGATACGCCTATTAGCCATCAAATACACTAGCACGCATGCGCCGTGTTACGTTTTGCTACGATACGTTACGATACGTGGCTTGTGGAAAACAGGCTTTAAGGCTGCAGCTGCGGACTTACCCGCACTAAATAGCGCACCCTTTGCCTTAACAGCAAGGCCCACGATGTTTCCAATTAATGACCCCCCGACGAATTTCCGACGAACTATACCACGTCTACTTGCTTGAATTATCATTATTAACTATTATATATATACATACAAAAAATGAGCTTTTATAGTAATAAAAGGCTTTGAATTAAATCCGCTTATGAGCGTGTATAATTACATTTTCGGGCGAAAGTTTAAAGTGTAAGTAACTTGCTCACCATTCAAATCGATTTCATTACCTGATTGATCAGTAATTTCCATTCGCACCCGAGTAAGAAGGCTATTTTTTATAACTGGTAAGTAGGTCGGTGGGCTAGGACTCATTTCCAACAAAGGTTCTGGTCCTCGGTGTGGAGTAAACGATTTAAAAACATCACTAGAAATTCCGTTTACTATACTTGAATTAATAAGCGAGCAGTGAATGTGGAGTTTCCGTACATCTGTTATGTTAATTCGATTCTGACTTAAAGTCTTTCCTCTAGTAATATCAGCTCTATCCACAAAAAACCCCAAATTAGGGCCTAAGCTGTTATCTACATTAAAAAAAACTACAAGGTCAGCCTTAATAGTAGTCGCCGATTTTGATGTAGGAATATTTACTGAAAGCACAAAGGGTGGATCAAGTCTTGCGATCTCATCTTCATGTGCGAACTTTACCCCCAATGATACCATAGCATCTTCAATAGCTTGATTGATATCTGGAATGTTGTAAGCACCTGGAGGTATTGCAATCCTTTGCCGTTGAATTACATTTTGTCTGAGCTCTCCTGTGCTTGGATCACTACAATAGTTTCCTCTTCTATTCTCAAACACTAGTTGATTGTTTTTCGTAGTGACATTTTTCCACGAATT